TATATATATACACACACATATATATACATACACACACACATGCATACATATACATACATATACACACACAATGTAAATATGTAAATATATATTTACAATGATTCTCCTTTTTCCCTTCCCTAATATAGGTAAATATTTTTAGCAATTTATTTTATTTTTTGGTGAAAATATACACAGAAAAACACACACTAATAATTTATACATGAACAATTCAGTGACACTGATAAGATTTTTCAAGTTGTGCAACCATTCTCACTTTCCTTTTCCAAATTATTCTTCCACCATTAACATAAACTCACAGCTCCCTAAGTTTCTAATCTAACCTTTAAGTTGCTGTTGTCCACTTGATCACATACTAAAAAAAAACAAATTCACTGCTGTCGAGTCGGATCTGACTCATCGTGACCCCTCCTTGGGTTTCCAAGGTACTATCTCTACTGAAGTAGATTGCCCCATCTTCCTTCCAAAGAGCAGCTGGTGGGTTTGAACCACCAGCTTTCTGGTTAGCAGTCAAATGCCTTAGGCACTGAGCCACAAGAGCTCCTTGATCACATATAGATAATTCTTTAAAAGAACACAATGCTCCAAGTAGACATTCTTTACTAATTAAGCTGAATTATTGTTTGGTTTAAAAAAGACTTTAGGGGACAGTTTTGGTTTAAAGTTTAAAGGGTATGTCAGAGAAATCATTGGGGAGTTCATCCAGCCTCTAAGGATCCAGACAGTCTGGATTCCAAGAGAATTTAAAGTTCTGTTCCACATTTTCCCCTACTTTGATCAGGATTCGTCTGTAGAATCTTTAATCAAAATGCTCAGTAGTGGTTGCTGGGCACCTTCCTGTTATGGTCTCGTGGCCAAGGAGGCAGTAGTTCGTGAAGGCAAATAATGTAAGATTTTAAAAAGTCAAAATTAGTAATAATAATAATAAAATACACACAGAACAAAATATCAACACTTTTCATGAAAACAGGATCTGACCCTGCACTTCCATTGTCCATTGTTCCATTGTCACACTTCCCAGCTCTTACCCCAGCTTGCTGCCACTCTTCCCTTCAACTAATATCTATTACACAACTGATACCAGGCCCTTTTCTAGCACCAAGAATACAGCCATCACCATAACAGACTAAATCCTGTGTGTGTTGTTGTTAGGTGCTTTCAAGTCAGTTCTTACTCACAGCAACCCTGTGTACAACAGAATGGAACACTGCCCAGTCCCGAGCCATCCTAACAGTTGTTGCTATATTTGAGCCCATTGTTACAGCAAGTGTGTCAGTTCATCTCATTGAGGGTCTTCCTCTTTTTCACTGACCCTCTACTTTACCAAGCATGATGTCCTTCCATCTCCAGGGATGGTCCCTCCTGACAACATATCTAAACAATGTGAGACAAAGTGTCACCATCCTCCATTCTAAGGAGCATTCTGGCTGTACTTTTTCCAAGACACATTTTTCATTATTCTGGCCAAACTAAACCAAGCTCACTGCCCTCAAGTTGATTCGACTCATGGCAACCCTTCCTTGGTTTTCTGAGGCACTATCTCTATGGAAGTAGATTGCCCAATCTTCCTTCCAAGGAGTGGCTGGTGGGTTTGAACCACCAGCCTGCTGGTTAGCAGTCAAATGACTCATGCACTATGGCACCAACTCTCCTATTATTCTGGCAGTCTATGACATATTTTGGGAGCTCTGGTAGCATAGTGGCTAAGGCACTTGACTGCTAACCAGAAGGCTGGCGGTTCAAACCCACTAGCCACTCCTCGGAAGGAAGGTTGGGCAATCCTACTTCCGTAGTGATACTGCCTCGGAAACCCAAGGAGGGGTCGCTATGAGTCAGGGCTGACTCGACGGCACACAACAACAATGACATATTTATTATTCTTCACCAACGCCATAATTCAAAGGCATCAATTCTTCGTCTTCTTTATTCATTGTCCAGTTTTCCCATGCATACGAAGTGATTGAAAGTATCGTAGCTTGGGTCAGGCGCACCTTAATCCTCAAGATGACATCTTTGCTTTTTAACACTTTAAAGAGGTCTTTTGCAGCAGATTCGCCCAATGCAATACAACTTTTGATTTCTTGACTGCTGCTTCCATTGTGTTGATTGTGAATCTAAGTAAAATGAAATCCTTGACAACTTCAATCTTTTCTCTGTTTATCATGATATTGCTTGTTAGTCCAGTTTGGAGGATTTCTGTTTTATGTTGAGGTGTAATTTATACTGAAGGTAATAGACTTTGATCTTCATCAGCAAGTAATTCAAATCTTCTTCACTTTCAGCAAGTAAGGTTGTGCCATCTACATATCACAGGTTGTGATTGAGTCTAACGCCAATCCTGATGTCTCATTCTTCTTCGTATAGTCCAGGTTCCCAGATTATTTGTTCAGTATACAGACTGAACAAGTGTGCTGAAAAGATAAAACCCTGGCACATACCTTTCCTGATTTTAAACTGTGTAGTATCCTCTTGTTTTATTTGAACAAATACCACTTGCTTGAATTACATGGAGACAATTCAGTGTTCTAGAACTTTGCACTGTTATCCATAACTTGTTATGATCCCCACAGCAGAATGCCTTTGCAGAGTCATGAAACACGGGTAAACATCTTTCTGGTATTCTCTGCTTTCAGCCAAGATCCATCTGACATTGGCAATGATATCCCTTATTCCATGTCCTATTCTAAATCCAGCTTGAATTTCTGTCAGCTCCCTGTCAATGTACTGCTGCAATCAATTTTAAATTACCATCAGTAAAATTTTATTAGTACGTGACATTGATGATACTGTTCAATAATTTATGCATTCTCTTGGATCATCTTTCTTTGGAATGGGCACAAATATCCATCTCTTCCAGTCAATTGCAAGGTAGCTGCCTTCCAAACATCTTGAATGTTAAATGAGTATCTCCAGCATTGCATCCATTTGTTGAAACATCTCAATGGGTATTTCGTCAATTCCTGGAGCCTTTAGTGTAGCTTGGACTTCTTCCTTCAGTTCCATTGGTTCTTGATCATATGCTACTTCCTGAAATGGTTGCAAATCGACCAATTCTTTTTGGTACAGTGACTGTATATTCTTTCCTGTGTTCAATATTTTACCCATGGAATCCTTCAATATTGCAACTGGAGGCTGAATTTTTTCTTCAGTTTGTTCAGCTTGAGAAATGCCAAACATGTTCTTCCCTTTTGGTTTTCTAGCTCCAGGTCTTTGCACATTTCATTATAATATTTTACTTTGTCTTCTCAAGCTGCCCTTTGAAATCTGTTCAGCGCTTTTACTTCATTATTTGTTCCATTCACTTTAGCCACTTTATGTTCAAGTTTCAGAGTCTCTTCTGACAACAATTTTGGTCTTTTCTTTCTGTCTTGTCTTTTTAATGATATTTTGCTTTTGTCATGTATGAAGTCCTTCATATTGTGCCACAACTAATGTAGTCTTTGGTCGTTAGTGTTCAATGTGTTAAACCTACTTTTGAGACGGCCTCTAAATTCAGATGGCATATACTCAAGGTCATTATATATATGTATGTTGGTTCTCATGGACTTGTTTTAATTTTCTTCAGCTTTACATTGAACTTGTATGTGAGCAACTGATGGTCTGTTCCACAGTTGGCCCCTGGCCTTGTTCTGACTGATGATACTGAGCATCTCCATTGTATTTTTCCACAGATGTAGTTGATGTGATTCCTGTGTATTCCATCTGGTGAGGTCCACGTGTAGAGTTTCCATTTGTGTTGTTGAAAAAGATATTTCCGATGAATAAATCATCAGTCTTTCAAAATTCTAACATGCAGTCTCCAGCATTGTTTCTATCGCTAAGGCCGTGCTTTCCAACTACCGAGCCTTCTTTTTCTAGTATTGTCATTTCAATCACCAGTAATTACCAATGCACCTTGATTGAATTTTCTATCAGTTTCAGACTGTAGAAGTTGGTAAAAATCTTCAATTTCTTCATCTTTGCCTTTAGTGGTTGGTGCATAAATTTCAATAATGGTCGTATTAACTGGTCTTCCTTGTAGATGTGTGGATATTATACTATCACTGATAATATTGTACTTTAGGATAGATCTTGTAATGTTCTTTTTGGTGGTGAATGTGATGCTATTATTCTTGAATGTGTCATTTCTAGCATAATCAACCATATGATTGGGTGATTCAAAATTGCAATATCAGTCTATTTCAGCTCACTTCAAGAGTTCCATTTCATTTTTGACAACTTCCAATTTTCC